TAGATTTTTTCATTCTGTAGCTACAGTGAGTGTAAAAGGGATATATGCAGTTCTAAAAGGTTTTCTACAAATATCGTGGCTATTTTTCAAATTTATATTGAACACATTTTCTTTATTTCCTATCTAGCATTTCTTGGACATGTCATTGGCAAGTACTGTTGGATACTCAGAAAATATATGGTTATAGATTTTTGAAGTAAAAAACATATGAAGTTCCCAAATGAGCTGTTCAGATGAAGAAACAGACTGATGTGTCTTTTTCATTGCAAAACTGCCAAATAAATAAATAAAAAATAGCCCAACACAGAAAACCACAGAATTTAACTTGTGTTTATTCATCCCCAGTAAGTGATTTCCTATAATTTGTTCCTTGGAAGGTGCTCTTTATCTCCTGTAGCTTCTGTAAGGGCTTTTTGAAACTCTCATCTTTTTCCCTCTCCTTCTCCCTTGCACATCTCTCATATATGGAAATTCAACATTATCTCTAAATATCCATTCAGATGGATAATCTTCACAGAGATATGTCTTCTGCCCAAATAAAAATCTTGGGCTGTTACCAGATTTCTGATTATTAATTTTAAGGACACTATAGGAAAAATGGTCTTTTATAATACCAGTTACAAGTAATAATTTGAGCCTATGATCTAGGCCTCATCCAAACAACATGTCAATCTTTCCAGTTCCTTCTGTCAAGATGCTGGGTGCAGAGCCTGTTTTTCCAACCAGATAAAAATTAGCTGAGGCTCTCAGTGTCTCACACCCTCACTGCTGCAGTGTCCTTTCCTCCAACACCATCAAACACAACCTTTCTGCTGTTTGCAAAGATCATTTTCTTGTTCTGTCCTTTGGATTGTGTCACCACCTCTTTGAATCCTGTGTCTTTTTTGTCACATTAAACACATAAAACTTGCTGTGAGTTTCATGGTCTGTCAGAGACTTCTCTCTCTTGACTGGTTAGCTGAAACTAGGAAACAAAGTGCCATCTCTAGTCTCTGATCAGCAAGGGTCCATTTATGTTTTCAAGAATTTTCAAGCAAGAAAAGGTCATTAATGGCCCCAGTGATCTCAGAAAGAATCAAACTTGCTCCAAGCTGAGGTGTTTCTTTTTTTCTTGGAAAAGGGGGGGAAAGGGAGCTATTTCCTCAGCTGCTTTAATCTGGAAGACAGCCAGATGTGGCAGGCAGCCAACCAGAGACAGGTTTGGTAAAAGCAAAACTAACTTCTCTCTAGAAGGATGCTTTTTCCCCTATGAGTCTGAAATCAGTTCTAGTTTCAGTCAAAATGCTATCCCACATTAAAAAAAACACAACAGTAACAGACTGTGTATTTACATAGCACATATGTTTTGAGTATATATTGATATACATACATATATATATACATACATACATATATGCATATATATATATACAGACAGACAGTAAGCTACAAAAACACTGAGGCCTAGATCTGTTCAGGGGGGAAAAGGCTTTGAGGCAAGGGACAAAACAAGCCAAACTTCATCATGTTCTGTTAGAGGTGCATCCCCTGATGACCACGGTTAGGGATTCACTGTGTGTCCTTCTGGAGAGAGGGCTTTCCCCAGCTGACAGACTGGAGTTCAGCTCCAGTGAGCTGTCACTGCTGCCACAGGGTCTGTGCTAATCATCTCTTGTGATCCCAAATATTCTCCACATGGTGCTTTATTACAGGAAAATGCATGGTAGCCTGATTCTATCCATAAAGACTGTGTTTTTGATGAAACAATGCAATAGAAAACCTCCCTTTATTCTTTTACAGAATAACACAAAATAAGCAAGTCATCTTTTGCAGTATTGTTTCAGACATTACCATATTTGTTTAAATTTTTAAGATGCCTTCACCATGAGGTGAAATTTGAACTTTTTTATTTTTTCTATTAAATCTGAAACTTGAGCAAAATAGTTCAGAATTCTTCCCACGGTCTTAACAGCCATGCATATAGTTTGCAAAATACCATCTTATTTATCATAAAAGAAGGGGTATAAAGACGTGTCCAGTTTTGTAAAGATGACTCTAATGAAATCTCCAAGGCATAAATTAGGATATAGAATAAAACAGATTTGTCATCTTGATCTAAATAAGATTAGATGAGTATAAATTCTTTAAAAAATATCCACAACCTGAATGATTTTGACTCTTCTTCCGCACTAGAACCCATGTCTATTTTTATATAAAATTTTAGATTGATATCTATATACATTCTCTTGCCTGCTTCAGGGAGTCCTCAGGTTGATCATTTCCTGCCCAGCTGCAGATGGGGGGGGTAACCCTAAGGATAGTTTCTCTGATCAATAGGATGCTGGGGCTAGAAAAGAGGTTCCCACTGAGTAACATGAGAAAATCGACTTCCTCCATGTTTACCATGGATATCCTTTTGTCTGACAAAGTTTAGAAGGGGAGATCTTATCTAAAGACTGTTGAAGAGCATAATCATATCTCTGCTGCCATTTCATTTCACAGCTCCTTTGTACTCATGCTCAAGACTGCCAGTGACACGGATGCAGGTACGGCCATCCCTTTAAAATGGTTCAAATTTCAGGAAGACTCACAGCACCACAGAACATGGCCAAGTAATTTATTTTTGACATATGCAGCAGATGAAAAGTAACTTGGAGAAGAGGCTGCCAACAAGCCATGCAGTGTGGCTGCATATCTTATGTTCAGAGGGGCTGCTCCTAATTAGCACTGATGTCACCAAGTATAGTCAGGCATATATGGTATGAAAGTCAAATACAGTAGTAACTCATTGTTTTCTACCCCACCCAGATGAAAGTTTGATGTCTTCCCTTTTTAACAGGTAGTTCAGAATCCAGATCTGCCCTTGCTGGGCACAGAGCTACACCACACTGTGGAAATGTGCAGGTAAAAGTGAGATGTGTGGGATGTTATTACTACAGTGTCTGCAGTGACCTGAATTCAGTCATACCAGTGATGAATTTTTCTTGCATTTGGGGAAAGCTGCAAGTTAAAAGCGAACCTCTGCAGAATAACAACGAACACAGCCAGAGAGAACAGAAAATTGTATCAGACTCGAGCACATTCTAAACACTGATTCACAGCACCCCTCATTTCTCTCTGCTGCCTTCAAAACTCTCCCTAATCTCCTCCTATGTTCGGCTTACAACACAATTCACAGTGCCCCTGAAATGTCTCCCCCCTCATTTTTTTGGTTTTTATTTTCCTTCCACTCCTACTCTTTCCATTTTTCCCCCAATGTCTGTTGAACCATTGTTTCCTTGATCTGTCATGCTTACTTCTGACAGTCCTTTAACATTGGAAGGAGGTCTGTAAAACAACTGCTAAACCCCATTTTCATACACTTCCTCCTATCCACAACTGTCCCGGGCCTAACTTAGTCTACCTTTTACTAATTATAAATACAGATTATATGAAATTAACTGCATGAAAGAGTCCAATGACACTTTCTTTACAGTGATTACCTTTACTTTTAAGTTTGCAAGTTAATAAGCATGGCTCTGGAGGCAGCTTCATTTACAACACCCAGACAGCTCCTTTGCAAAGCATGACTGGGAAACCACCATATTGTTAAAAATCCCTGAGATTTAATGTTCCAGATTTGCAATACCATAAATTGAAAGAAAAAAACCCCTGCTCTAAGCTCTAAGATATGCAACTCAGTTTAATAAAGCACCTTATAAAATAACTTACCTTGTAATTCACAGCAAACTATGCATTTTGGAAAATCAATTTTTGGGTTCCTTTTCCTTTTGCTAATGAAGCAACATATAAGCAAATAGATATATACTGCAGAATTGACTGTAAAAAAAACAACTAGAAAAGTGTTTATAGTATTTTTTCTCATATTTTCACACATCAGGAAATTGCCATTTTCACCTAAAGCAGGAAGAACTGGTTCTATCAGAACCCTGTCCTACATCGTCAGTGGTGTTCTGTGACTTGCATTTGTGTTCAGAATAATATCAGTTACCAGATAGAGAATATTTCCTGATGATGTTTTGGATATTTACTTAGAAGTTTATGAGCAAAAGAAATCTTTAAGATTTAAACCTTCCTCTGAAGTACAAAGCACAATCCAGCAGCATGTCCTTAACCCTACAGCTAACACCATGTTGGGTACTGGTGCTCAAACACAAAGCTATGCTTTGAAATATCCTGGAACAAACCAGCTGGGAAGAAGTTAAATTTAATTATGTACTTAAGAGACATATTTTCAAACATAGGGACCTGCATAGGCTTTATTAGTGTAAGCCATCCATCCGAGTAAGTGGAATTATAAATATGTAAGACAGGTCAGCAATATGTACATGCAATGTAAACAGATGTTAACTCATCTGAATCATTTCCCAACAAGGCTACAAATGAAAAAGTGCAAACATGAACAGCACAATGCAAGCCACTGGGAAATTAGTTGGGAAACACTAACAATAACTAAATGAAATTTTCAAGCCAAAACACTACCTATTTGAAAGAAGAAAGCAAAGTGAGGACATAGTCCAGAAACCTTCACAGAGGGGAACCTGTAGATGAGGAATATAACCCATGTCCCATCACTAAGCTCAGCAACATCCTCCTGCTCTAGAACATGGCAGCCAAGTCCAGCCACTGCCAGAGCAGTATCTGCTTTGTATTTTCAGAGCTCAATATAAATTACCATTCGCCTTAATGGTTTTAGATACAGACTGAACTTTTCCACTGTGCAATCAACTTGTGAAGTTGATTCATATGATGTTGCAGAAAAGCCACTGTCAGAATAGAGGTGATCTCACTAAAAGAATACATATGGATGTATCAGTGAATAGCTATTTAAGATGCTATTTCCTTGCTTGCAGTCATGTGAAGTCAGCACTCCTGTAGTTCAAACAAACATCTAAAAAAGATGCTATCCATCATCAGTTTCCATAAAGGTATATTACAGAGGACATTGATAAGTCTTTCTTTAAAATTCTGTTCTTTTTATGTGTTTCTAAATAGTAAAAAACCACAGAACAAAAAAAACCTTAAGTAAACATCTTTATTATTGTTAGATTTTTTTAATGCAGAAATAGTGTTATTTCAGGTATAGGCTTACAATCCTGTTTCATTGTTGTTTATGCCAAAACAAGAGAAGAGAACACCCGGGTCAACTGCAGTTTGATCAGGAGCCAAAATGTGGTTTCAGATATTTATGCACAAATTTCACTGACAACCGTGAAGTGAGACTCTGTCTCAAAAAAAAACCACAAAAAAGATTAAGGACTCTTCTTATTTTAACACCCTTTTTACACAGAAAAGCCAGTTGCATACATGAAGAAAATATATATTCAAGATATGAGGACCAACTTCACAAAATTCATGTCACTTTGACTGCTACAACATTAAAATGGAAAATTAGTCTTTTGATAGAGGCAACCAGTTGTGACACAAACCGAAACAGCTCTTTCCCCTTTCCATTGTTTTAACTACATATAACTCAGTGAATACAGTTTTCAGAACAGACTTCTGTTTCACCTGTCCATTGCTGTAAGAAATTAAAAGCTTAGTTCTTTATGAATTATTATAATACAATTTCCTATCCTTTCATATTTTATGTAAGTATCAAATACCAAGAGTGCTTTCACTTATTGCCAAGAATGCCTTGTACATTAACTGGTGCAGCTGAGAGCTGGATATGGATAATGCTGAAAACAACTATTGAAAAATAAGTTTTTAATGGTGAAAACAATTCTCTTAACTGCAACCTCTTTGGTACGCAATAAGGCAAGCATCAAGGGACATGTGGGCAATAGGAAACGGTTTTGTAATTGTTAGTAGAATCTTCTTTCCTCCTTTTTACTATTAACAAAAGCTAATGTTAAAGCAGTTATGAAGAACCAAACAGATTCTCTACTTCCATTTTAACAACAGGATTTGCCTAAATAAATGTTATCCTCTGAAAGTGAAATTCACATTTCACAATTCAAGTTTCAGCCTCCAGATGTACATCTAGAGTTCTGTCTAAATGCAACAAAGGACACAAAACAAAAACATCTCTTAGTTCTAGAGGTCGCCTCACTCGGAGCCACCCAACATGAGCCAGGTCCTAGAGGAATGATGCGCTCACCATCCTGAAATACCGAGGCTGAGTCGGGCGCCAGTTATCAACCAAGGGGTGATCAGGTTCATTCTCGGCATTCTTGGATAGGCTGCGGAGCTTTGCCATCTGCAGAAGAGCGAAAATTGAAATGTCCTGATGGGAATCCTTTGGGATCAAATCCACAGCCCATCAATTAAACCAAGGAAGCTGGTCCAGCCCCAGAAGCTGTGGAGAAAATCTCCTTCAAAGTTGTGAAGATGTCCTTCACCTCCCCCCCACCACAAGAACTATACTCATGCTCTTTTCCTCACAGTGATCTTCTTAGAAATAGTCGAGATGGCAAAATGGGTCCTATCTGAACAGGATTGTGAAAAGTAGTGTCATTTATGTACTGTCTACAGGACTGTGTAAAGCCACAGAAACTATGGCAAGTACTCAGAAAATGCAAATAGAGCAGAACGTGCTCTAATAAACCTCTCCTACTCTAACTCTGCCTTAGTGCCTCTAGAATTGCAAGGTGTTAAGGCTAAATTATAAACCAGTTGTTCATTTTCATGGTAGGTCTGTAGCAGAGGATATATTCTGCTGCAGTGACACAAAGTTCATTATTAACAACAGCAATATAAATCTGGATAATGACTGGGTCAAGGTTTCAAATTGTTTGTAAACAAGGTCTGCAGCTTGACTCTCCCTGGCCATTTATTTTTAACCAAGGTATGGGTTTTTTTGAGGGATGCCATAATAGGAGTTCTGCCCATACTCTTCAAAACTGTATAATGCTCTTCCTCTACTCCTTTCTGATTTTCAGAGGGCACAACACATATGCCCACTTACAGAGACATTATGTTCATTTGTCGTCCCTACTCTGCACAACATTAGACCCAAAGCACATCAGCTCTGACTCAGACACTTGACACTTCCCTGTTTAAACCACTTACCACAAAAGGCATGCACACATTTTCCATGTGTAAACTTGAAAATGTAGCCCCATGCACAGCAAGCATCACCTTTGTTCACAAGGAGCTTCAATATGCTGATGTATCTACCTTTTCCAGTACAGACTTCAAGTCAAATAGAAGCAGAAGTTTGGTTTGGGTTGTAAAACCTGGGTTCACTGTGATTATACTAGTTCCAGTTTATGGACTGAGCTAGCTCAGGCATCTCAACATTGTTCTTCACTACACAGTTCAGAAAAGCCAGCTATCTCAGTCTGCCTGAAAATGATGACGTCACATTTATAACCAGTATAATATGCCTCAGATGGATTATTAATCTGAAATTAAATTTCAGATTTCAGATGAAAAATAATTTGTATGAGAAGAGTAAGAGATGAAAATAGTTCATCAGTTTTCTTAATACTGACAAAGCACTATTGGAGAAGGGTGCTGAAGTTTATTATTATTTGTGGAAGATCTGCTCTACTCAGTAAAAAAATATGTATTCAGGTTACAACTACATAAAGATGAAAAAATTAAGTCTGCAATTGGACAGACTTATTCCACAGTTAAATTCCTATTCTTTCATTAAAAGTAATTTGAGCAGCTAGGCCACCCACTCTACATCTCACAGGGATTTCTGGTGAATTGACTTTTTCTGCAGAGTACTGATTCACAGCCACTGCACTTACCCTTGTGGCTAATATACAGTTACCATCTGGCTGCAAAAGCATCCAAGCAATCCACTGCAAATGCACACGCACTTAAAATAATCACTATTAATGAGGCTGCCATGGTAGTACATTTCCTAGGATTAGAAATAATTGGCAACACAATCCTCTTATGAATACGCTGTTTAGACTGCAGGACCTCTGGAGTAAGCGAAGGCTTTCTATTGTATTTGTATACAGTAATTCACACACACTGCCAACTCTGCCTGAAAAGCAGTTACCTCAGGATAAGAGCCAGTGTCCTGTCTGTATGTAATAATTTCACCTTTACCTTAAATGCTTCATTTTTTCTACAGGAGGGCTAGTTAAAGAACAGTCTGTATGTTTCCCAAAACTCACTCACTTTAGAACAGCAGAAAAAAAGACCATGACCCAAACACAGCAGTGTTCAAAAAGTCTTTTCATGAAGCTGGATCAATGATGTGATTAGTTATTCCTTTAAAAATGGATTTTAAATCAGAGATGCTCAGTAAGGACTACACTTTTCCCAGCAAAATCTGGAGTTGACCTTCTGTAATATAAACATCAAAGCAGATTCATTTTGTGGAAACCAGTCAGACCATATTTGTAGTTTTCACACAAGTACCTACTTCAAAACTGCCCCCATATTTTAATTTTTGGATGGGCAAGGAAACAGGATGCAGATTAATTCAATAAACTAAAAAATTAAGCTGTAGGTTATATGAATACATTACCATATTTCCTCTCTTGCCTCTCTTCTCATCATACCTGAGTTGTATTATTTAAAAGAAAGATCCACATAAATACAAAGTACTAGAAAATGGAAATTATTTTTGGTGATACATACACATCAATCAATGCACTGAAACACATTATCACCTTGAGAACCTCAAATGAAAAGTTATGTGTTTACCTATATCTACATAATATGTCATTCCCTTGATTAATACTCATGTGCTTACTATCCTGGAGTCTTGGAATTTGTGCTATCGTATCACTGTAGTCTGCTGGCTAGAGGAGTAACCTCAGATGAGAAAACCGACTCGTGTGGTATGAGTAGAATCATAGGCTGAAATGAGGGCATTCAAATTCCTACAAATGGGATTGAGGGGAAATGAGGATTAGCAAGAAATACTTCTTTACAGCAGATGACCAAAGAAGTTTTTCACATTAACAATAAATTATAGTTGTCTGATGCTGCTCTAATTTGTGAAAATTTAGCTCGTATGCCTTCCAGAAACACAGGTGTCAAGCACCTGATTCAATAACTTACTTGGTTACGTGATGCCATCTAGAATATGGGGCAGACAGAATCACCAATCCCATTACTTTTGTATTCTGACAGACAATGGTTTTGAAAGCAGCATGCTTTAAGAGACACATTTGCAAAGTAGAATATTCAAAAAGTTGTAAATGCTCAGCTGCATTATGTAAGATCACTGGACTCCTGCTTCATTTAGTGTGCAATGTAATTAGGGTACCTGACTGCCCTAATGCATTTAATTGCAGATGGTCACTTTTTCAAGGGACTTTATTACAGAATTTATCCAGTTATTCCCCTCAAACATTCATCATGGTCAGCAATGAAGACTTTACAGGAGGAAGTTTGAGACAATATAAACGTTTGAAAAAACCTGCATAATCAAAGTTTTTGGTGCAAACCTAAAATAGGCTTTAGCTAAATGTGTCAATGTTCTGATTTAAATGGTTGCAGAGGAATACGAGTTAATGGCTGGAGCTCTTGGTGTAATGCAGTGTTTTGAGCTCTATGTAAAATACAAGGTATGAGCCATATCCAGCTGCATCCTTTCCTACTAGCAAGAGTTAATGCTGTAAGAATACAAGGCTCTCAAACCATTACAGAACCAAAGAGAGAACTACTCTTTTTTTTAGTTGATGTTGCAGGAGTGGTCTTGCCCATGGAGGCAAGAAATCTCATCTATAGTAACTAGAGCTTGCTGTCAGTCACACTCCAAACTGCTGTAATCTCTTACCATCTCCACTGTGTTATGTTTTTACTGATTAAAAAAGCCTTCTGATGTCTGTGGACTTGACCTTCCATGGTGTCTGATGTGGGCTAGTATTTCAGTGTCCTTTTAATCATGTAATTTTTCACAAACCCAATGAGCATTTTCCTTGTCAAAGGAATAAGATCAGGTTGTGACATATAAGTAAAAAGTGAGTAAAATATTATCAATTTGAAGTTTACCTGGTCTGAACTGACTATGATAGGCTCTCTAAGAATAATCCAGGTGACACACTCTTCACAAGGTGGAGTAGTGAAAGACCCATGGTATGTCCAGTAGTCATGAGATTTCGGGAAAAGAATTGAAGGATCAAAGTTTGGAAAAGGAGCTTCTTTCCCCTTTAAAAAAAAAAACAAAACAACACAACAAAACCAAACAGAAAGCTCATCAACAGATCTAGTCTATTTGCTCTATTTTAAGAAACAGATACTTCAAAGGTACGAACTAAGGAAACTAAGCACAGATCTACACAAGACATAATGATGCAGTGTGAAGATAAGTGGACTGAACAACCGTCACAGATGGGCCCAGATAAGCAGGACACAACGTAAAACTCCGTGATGCTACTTGTTGTACCTGAGCTAACTCATGTGAAGCGGCGTCCAGTACCACTGTGTTTCACTCACTTCTGTGCAGAAATACTCTTCCTTCTGGTCTCCTTTCTTATGGAAATTCTGCCTATCTATTGAATATTGGATTAGGTCACCACAAAACGAAGTGGGACAGGTACTACTTTTATAATATTTGTGCTGTTAATGAACATGACAGCCTATGAAATATGAGATTTATCACATAATGTTATCTGAGACACAAATGTCTAGTCAGTGACATTTCCAGAGGACCATTAGGCAGCCTATATTAAGACTGAACGGACCAATTTCCTAAGGTGCCTTTTATTTGCCACTGACCACTGAGGGAATAAGACTCCATGCCTAGTTTTTAGGTGAGTGAAGTTTAGCGAAATGTCTCATTTTCCCAAATTTAAAAGGACCACTAAAGCCAGAGAAGGCTCATATGTAAATGGAAGAAAGGACTCTTCATGTTAAGGAATGGTTGTCCATGGTTTTATTTACAAATATATTCTGGCAATGTTGCAGAGCAGAATTTGAAAGCCAGAAACTCAGGCATCTCGATTTTTTTTTTTTTTTTTGTCTTGAGATTTTGCAGCAATCTTCCTATAATGAAAAGCCCAACATCATTACCTTTGTTTTGATAGCATTTATTTCTTCAAGAATTCTCTTCATCTCTGGTTTAGGAGTTTCCCCTACCTGTTAAAAAGAAAGTATGAACTAAGCAAAGAGTTCTTCTTAATCAGCTTTCTTATTTCTCCTGTATTTCTACATGTGCATCTAAACATACATCAACCACAAAGTTACAATACATTAATCCGACCCATTGCCCACACCAGCTAATTAAGCTAATGTCTTCTCTTTGTACCCTTTGCCTGTACCCCAACAAATACTATGATACAAAGGGAGACATTTTATCAGTACAGAAATAGAGCATAACAGGTAATTTCACAATATAGTTATTCCTGTTGACATTAAATTTTAGCCTAACAAAGATAAACAGCTCTTTGGACTCAAGTACAGAATTTGGAAAAAAGTTTTATTCTAGTTTAAAAACAGATTTCATGGTCAGATCTATTGTTTGCAATTGTTGATCTCAAAAAAGACATCTGGCTTTCTATCCCTAATGAATATTAATTAAACAAGAGAGAGGAATGGCCAATATTTAGGCTAAGGCTGCATGCTCCCAAAGGGATTTAAAAAAAGGATGAGTTACATGTATTGTCTGTGAGAGAGTTTTGTTTGAGAGATAGTTCATGAAAAGCCTAGAAGAGGTATCTGTCCTTGAAATCTGTCCACGATTAGCACAGAAGACAGCTGACTGCTGTTGGGCAAAGGGCCACTTCTGACACATGTCCCCATTCCACCAGCCACACAGTCACACAATAGCTACAGGGACAAGTGTGTGTACTATTGGGTGCCCTTTGAGATAACATGACTCATGCTCTATAACTTGAAGAGGATACATTATCAAAAGTCAAGTCCTTCAGTGTGGTAGAATAGCTAGAATATATATTTAGAGGTTTTTGCTTTTTCTAACTCTCTAAGAATAGAAAACTCTACAGTAGCAGTAACAATGAAGGGTTACATGTTTCTACTTACTTGCAAAAATATGGCCAAAACAGCTACCCCATCAGTTCTTCTCCTAGCATCAAGGTAATTACTGTATTTGGGATTCCAGTGTAACATGTGTAGCTTGAAACAAAGAAAAACATGTATTGAACAGCATTATTGAACAGCAAGCCATCAGAAGCTGAATTTACAGTTCATCATATAAATGAGTAAGTTTGAGGCAATAAAGAATATGATTAGGCATTCCAAAAATGGAAAAAGAAAAAAGGGACAGCAAGTCATATATTAGTAATATCCGTCATATATTACCATTTCTACTACTATTTGCTTTAAAATAAACTATAAACTTAATACAGAAATTGAAAAACTATAACTGAAATCTCATCTTAAAACTGAATAAGATGCTAATGTAAGCAGGTAAAACACATAGTTCAGATGTCATCTACTGATATGTGATTCATTTCCATTCAAATTATAGCCAATTCCAGCAAAGAATCCATGTGAATGTAAACTCTGTACATTGTTAGTCCACAATTCTCATCTTCACTTACAATCCTACAGTGGCAGAGAATCAAAGTAACATTCTTCTTCCTTGCTGCTACTGCAAGTTTATACTTCTGCTATAATACTATACTTTCAGAATACTGTTTTAGTAAGTTTGCCCTGTTGAATAATTCAGTCTTGCTGTATAGTGTTTCAAATCATATTGTTTTGAGAACATGGAAACTTTTGTTTCACACAGTATTTTTCTTATGCTGTGGGAGTTACTTCAGCCTAATTCAAATTTATAAGAATTGATGGGAGTAAGAATAAAATGGTGCAGATAAATAAATAGAAAGAACTACCTGAAAAGCAGACAAATGGCAAATTTTGTCTCACTTGAACAATAATGACAAATTTTACTTTACACCCTGTTTTAAAGTAAAAAGTGGTGAGTCTTACCTCTCCTGCATACCTCACTCCATTCACAACATGCTCAGAGCCATGGTCATCAGACGAGCCCCAGTGGAAGTGCAGCTGACGTAGCCTGAAGACTCCTGGAAGTGGCCCACCTCTCAGCACTGCAATGGATAATCTGCAACAGCATCAGACTCAAGTATCTTCCAATTCTTTTAAATGAAATTTTAAAGATATTTACTGTACATATTTACTGTACAGATGCATCTACAGATGCTGACAGAACTGAGTGCCGCTTGAAAATCTGCACTGATTTTAGCAGCAGTTCAGGCAACCATCTTCAGCTATATGCACTTACAGGCAGATGAAAATTTTTTGTGTCTAGGCTTCCATTATAGTCATTAGAGATCATTGGTTTAATTCAGCTGCATAAATGAGCATCTAGTACTTTCTGGGATATTCCAGAAAGACCTGGACAGGACTGAAAGATGTGATCTGGGATCTGTAGAAGAACTGTACATTTCTAAAGCAGTATCTGGAGGCATGGTGAAGTAGATTAGGTTATCAAAGATATTTCAAGATGCCTGTGTTTGGGTAACTGAAGTAATCAGAATAGTCAAGTCTCCAGAGCAATTCTGCTTGCCTTAAGGTAGACATCAAACAGATGGTGACCTGACTTGCTCTCTGGACTCCATTGATTAAAGGTAACTCCAACTCTGTTGACTAGAATGGCAGTTTAGAGATATAACCCACCAACTTTTAAAATCCCAAAATAAGACACCTAAATTTAGACGTCTTAATCTCTCCTTGAATTCAGTCTAGTATCTACCCATACAAAAGCACACAAATTGAGATCAACTACTGAAGTGCTAGATGATAAACAAATTCCCACAAAACACTACAAAATTGTGTATCTTACTGCAGGCTACAAATTATTTCTTTAAAAAGCTATGAAATTACTGATGCTGCTTCTGCTATAATGGCTACTCCCTCTGGCTATAGAAGAGAAAGAAAACAGTAAATGAGCCAGAGAAGCAATCACTGAGAATGCAGTTTATTGTCCTAAAGAAAAGTTCAGCCTGTGATGAATTCAGTGACGAATGATACCCACTATTCCAAATAATCTTACCATTTTTAAATAATATTGTAAATGAAGGTGGTGTATTTGAAAGGATCAATAAAAATGGAAGAAATTCTTTACATACATCAAAAACTAAAAGATATTCAATTCTCAATCACTTTTTTTGAGGATGGACGTCACAGCATTCCTATAAAGCACTCAGCAGTACTCAAGAACAGGTCTTTATATGCCAGAGAAAAATATCCTTCAATCTGAAAAGGAATTAAATCCATTATCATGTCAAGAAATAAAGTACTAAGAGCACAGCAAGCTGTTATTCTCAACAAATTCCTTTTACTTCTTCCCACAGACATTCAGAACTGTGGCCGATGCAGACACGGTAACAGCAGTAGCTGACAAGACCATCAATTCTCCATTAGAATAGATCTGTAAAACCAAATAATCCTCTTTAAGGTAAAAACATGTCATTATTTCCACTGATGGGCCATCAGCAGACATTTTCGATTGGGCGTTAGGTGAAGCTCTGCATCACCTCGTGCCAACACATTCCAGCTTCACTCATCTATAAATAGACAGTAATTTTTACCTAGCACAATTTCAGCAGACAGAATGATGCAACCGACATCTCCAGAAGGACAAAAAGGTGTTTCCTTTCTTTTAATTGCAAGTGTGTAGTATTAAACATATAAATATATGAAATGACAATGCACATAAATGAAATTCCACTACATTTTAAAAAAAAGAAAAGTAAACACAGCAATTACAAGAATCAAGTTCTCCGATATCTAAAATATAAAAAAATCTCAAACTATGTCTACATAGCTCAAAATTAGTAAAAGAAATCTTTATTTTTTTAAACATGTCTTGGAGCCTAAATCCTAAAGGTATTTTTATCCTCCTGGGCTTTTGTTTTTAATACCACACAAATAAATACACAACCATATAACAGACAAAGAATATGAAATAAAAGTTTATAAAAGAAGCGGTGGTATCTTCACGTTGTTTTTCAGTAGTATTAATATATGATATTTATATGTAAGAGGGAATTATTCTAACAATTATTACACAGGAAATGTTCACCTTAAATATCTGAGACTCACAGTTTTAAGGCTGTAATAGCTGTTTTCCTATCACAAAACACTTACAACAGGATGCTTTTCCAGAAGGCCCCATGACTCACTCTGAGCTTCTACCTATGCCACTGTATGAAATAAAAAGCAAAAGCTTGAAAAAAGGAGCTTGCAGACTCAATATAGGCTGATACACAGGCAGCCAGCTCTTCTCTTTCTTAAGTCTTCTGAAATACTGTGTAATCCTTTTCATATGGCTAGCTGAATGGCTGGACTTACTTCTGAATATTGGAAACGTGGCATTTCTGTTTGTTGTTCTGCTGTACAGGAACTAACAGGATGGTCACAGCAGAGTTACCAAAATGTAACTCCCTTAAACTTGCTGTCAGTAAAGTAACATGGGCCAGGTGCAGGAATATACAAACCAGCCCAGGAAGACAACGTAGAAAAGTATTCACTCCTTTTGATGCCTTATTGTTGCAAACTCTCATCCCATTGCTCAGTACCGACTATATGAGTCTCCACATCACCCTCCATCAGCATCCGATACCAGACATAGAAATGTCATGTCAGTTTTGCTCAAATTCTGTTCCCCGCCCCATCCACATAGAAGAATGGTCTATCACAGAGCAATCCTACATGAACACACACATGAACATCTATTCCAGAAAAAAGTTCACCTTTTATTTGATCTACCTCAAGCTGAGCAGCATGAGACAGAACTGGCTAATAAAAAAATGGGTTTTTTTCACTCTCAGTGTAATCACTAGGCAAGTGTTGCACAGAAGGATGTAACTAAGGCAATAAAAACCTTGTCTCTCACTCTGTGTACAGACAGCAAAATTAAGGTGTGGTGCAGTTCAAGTGGAAATGGCCACTCAGTCACTTTACCTTAGCTAGCTCAGTGTCATTGACAATAGAAATGTGACAAGAGGGGTTTGAAATAAGTGCATCCACTTGCTGAGCAGCTTCTGTACGGGTCTGGTTGTTAATCTGTGCTCATGTCAATTGTCAAGTGTCCTCTCACTATAAAACTGGCAAATTTCGGCCTACAGAAATGCCTTCCCTGTTTGCTATGAAGGCATACTGTGAAAGTCAGGTGGAAAAATGCAAGGAGAACAAAACACTCATGAGTTGTATTTATAAACATGACAAGAAGTAACTGTTCTTACAAGAGTTATGATCTTGCATCCTGCCAAATCCATAAAATGAACTGGTAAACCACAGTGAAATTAAATTAGTAATGTATTACTGTATGACAATTGAAAAGACACATTACCTTTGTTATGCTGCTTTATAACAGAATCTAACAGTGCAGTACAGAAACCACAGCTTTTTCAGGTCAGTGCCATATTTTAAATGTCTAAAAAAAGCCTCTGCTCATAAGAGGATTTCTGTACTGAAACAGTCTGGCTAACTGCAGGATAAAGGGTACTTCCTAAAAGCTTTTGGAACTGAAATTTCAGTTCTCACTGATTTTTTTTTTAAGCAAGCACTGAATAGGTATGCAGAAGAATTACTTTTGTTTCTATTTGAACTATTTACTCTTACAGGGAAAGACTGGGAAAGAGAAGTGTCAGACAGAAGTCTGTCAGCCTGCCTCCCACTCTCACCTACCTTGTAACATATCTTTTCCAGTTTTGGAAATTTGCTGGTCGATAAACTTCCATAAAAAATGCCAACAAAAACAACAAATTGAGAAGGTAAAGAAAGGCATCCATTTGATATAGCCTTAGTATAGCCCTCCCCAGTTGCTCTGTCTGGGTTCCATTACCAGAATTATGTATCTTTACTGTTTCTCAAATGATCAAACACCATGATATAACCACCTAACGAAGGCATTACAAGGAAAGCCGAAGAGTAATTAATTGTAAGGTAGTTACAAGCTATATATCTCACTCAGCACCATGACAGTGGTCCCACGAGGTAGATTCTCTCAGGACACTTCTCTGACATGAATACTTTGGGAATTTTAGAAAAAAATGGACTCTGCTAGTGGAAATAAGATTGCAGCCCTAATTCAAACCAAAACTAGGTCACTGTTGGATCTAAAAAAGTATCTGAGTTGCCATTCAGGCCAAAAAAACATACCAGTGGTAGGATGCCAAAGTACCCAAGTTCTGGTATGTGTTTTACCGGGCCCAGCCACGTAGGAGGTTTGATTTCAGCTTCCTGGCTTTTGAGACTCCAGCCTCCACCTGCAATGATTTTACAGTGTATAAGGCCCTTCTTCTACGTAGGTCTGGTAAGACAGGAAACTGAGCCCACAACAATCCATTAACTTGTACAGGCAGGCAGCAGAGGCGTGACACCACTCCTAAAGCAACTATCTGTCAAGCTAGGCCTTCAATTGTATAGCAGATTCTTAAACGGGCTTTATAAATAGCTGGAAATAAATTCTCAAATTCCTTCCACTAGACTAACTCCAAAGATAACAGTAATAAGGCCTTATTTAACCTAATACCTGAATTACATTGGATGGCACTCTCTCTAACAATTTAAGGAACTGTTCCAATTGTGAATATTCCAAGTGTTCTTGGCAGAAAAGACACAATGGATGTAAAACTTGGAGACATCCAAGGTAATTAATTTTATTAATTTTGACCCTTGTAATTTTTTCAGCAATCTATTTTATCTACAATAATGGAAATCTAAATAGAAGTGCTGATGTAAACATGATCACTCTAACTGAAAAAATAAACGAAGCCCTTAGTTTTCTGGTTAACTCAGACATAATTCAGATAGACAAAGTGGTAGATACATATATAGACATACTCAGAACGAATGTCTTTGTTCCAAAGGAATAAAAGTTTTGTTCCAAAGGAATAAAAGTTTTATTCCTCTATGATTGCTATTGCGTATGTATGTATTATGCAGCTGGCGGTTCTTTTACATAAAAAATAAGCCACTGTACATATCCTAAAAAGCTTAAAACATGCTCAAGTCAGTAGGAGTATGCACAGTGGAATTTGTCCTGCAATTAGCATTATATTAGAGAAGGAACACCACCCACAGTCTCCAAAGGCAATGGTATAACAAAGGAGACGTAACAGCAAACACTGGATGTTTCTTGACTTCAAAGAGTTGAGAAATACACCTACTTTTTTTGCAGTGAGTCACTTTTTACTTCTGAGATCAAAACACAACAGTTACTGAGCAGTTCATCTGAAAAAATATTCAGAACATGGCAAAACTTTCTGCTCTTTCTGGTGAGTGTTGCATCCATGCTGTAGATTGTTGCGCCTGGATACTCCCTCCCTTTCAAAATCCTTTGGCATTTATGCAGAAGATGATATATCTGATGCTGTTCTAACAAATACAACAGATGGTAAAAAATGGTAAGTAATAGTCATGGAGGTCTTCTTCTATGCCACAGCTACATCTCTTTACGTATCATTTTATCTGATATGAATAATATTTTTCTTTAAATAACATTAAAAATTCCCACTTTGCTAGAAAAGTAATCAATCTCTTGACTGTATAGTAATTTGTGACTTTTGGTAGTATATTAACTAGTTTACATACATTTTGATCCTCAGTTTTCATGAAACCCAAGTCATTAGTTAAAATCCATTAAATTAAATTCATGTCCACATATACTTAACATGAAACAATCTATTAGTAAAATTCCTCCTAGTAATTATGGCTGTCAATCCTAGTTATATTGTAATAGAAAGTGGAACTTTTAATGTAGTTAAGAAATAAGTCTGTACACTGTATGTTGTCATAGATACAAGTGGATAAAAGATTTTGAACATTAGACCTGAAACACTGAAATTTCTCTGCCCTATAATCTTCATTAAGACAAAATCTCATGAATGCCGAAGAGTTTTAACAGATTAAATACCATGACTTCGTGGCAACATCTGGTTCATTACTTCATTGATCAGAAATTACATGAATAGAGTTTTTAAATATTGTAACTTAAGATGTTCTGTTGGGCATCTCAAACAGCTTAAATGGAATTCAGCTCTCACACATAAAGCCTGGACTCCTAGCTCCTGGAAAGCAACACAACTGCAATGGCTTTTTGCAAGCTCAGAAAACTTTACCTTACACTGTAATTCATCCTGCACCATGTTTCTTTGCAGCTCTCTACATTCCCTAGGATTTTACCTATAGACTTTAAAAGTAGTCCCAGGCCTTTCCCAGCAGCAGTGCAGGGCACTGGAGTCACAGAAACGTGCACATCACACATAGGCAGTACACAGAGACCTTCTGACAGCCTGAGCATTCAGAGCAGGCTCTTCCATACAAATTGAGAAATATCACTGATATATAATGACAGTCAGAGATGCAAACAAAACTGACCTGATCTATCAAATGAATCATCAAACACAACTCTGCAGGTCTTCCCATTATTGAGGATGGTCTTAGCTGCACCAGGATCATAACTAGCAAACCATGGCAGTAGGGAACTATCATAATGCACCTCTTTATTATTGATTTCAATTGGTGACTGATGACGTCCTTTTGCAGTTGGGTAATTTTTGTGCCACTGATCTGGTCCTAGAAAAAAGTACAGAGAAATATCATGAAAACCTTTTCCAACTAGGTATAAATTATACTTTTGTAACAACAAACGCAAGCTTGGCTTTGCTTTGGTACAGAACATCAATTCAGTGCATTAATAAGTAGGTTACTAATTGCCTGGTTATTATTATTCATGCCCTGTCAAGAGTTTGACTGTACAAAATGCAATCTAATTATTCTAGCTGGAATACCGGATACTGCAAGTCATTCAACTGAACCTAAAACTCTCATAGCAACCTCAAGACTTATTAGGAGACTGATTATTAGGAGACTGACAACACACCAAGGAAGGAAACTAGAGGTGTATATACTCCGAGTCCAGCAGTGGCTAGAAATTTGATGGGGTATACACAAAATTATTCAAATGTGGTACCGTGTATTCATCTGGAGTGAGAAAAGACCACCAATCCCTGAACAAGCCAGGAATTTGAAACATGGATTTAATTATCATTATGGTTTCACCAGTAAATTCATGTGGACTATGCCTGTCCGAGGTTCAGCTGTTAGTTCCTGTAGCAAAGCGCAGGAACAAGAGGCCACGCCTGTCCCCAACCTCTGCAGGCAGGAGGGACCGTGGCTGTACTGCACTCCCAATTTAAGGCTAGCTTAAATTTGACATTTGCTATGTCAAATTTTAAGTTACATTAACAGTAGGAAAACTGACTTTATTTAACTTAGAAACACCCTGCCAGCGACCTCTCCTGCCAATGACCTCTCCTGCCACCAGCATCGCCTCTTCCACACCTGCGAGCGACAACCAGCCGGCCACGGCCACGCCACCTGCACAGCCCCGGGCCCGCCTGGAGCCCGTATTCTCCCGTCATGCTCCCTCGGGACGCGGAGCCCCCGTTTTTCCTGGGTTGTGCTCCCCGACCCGCGGCGGGGCCGGGCCGGGCGGGCCCCCCGCTCACCGTTGTCGCTGTCGTAGCCCCACGGGTAGTAGCTGGGGTTGATCATGGTGCCGGGGCGGCGCCGCGCCCCCGCCTCTCCCGGCGGCTCCGGCAGGACGGCGGCCTCGTCTCACGGCGGCTTTTTATAGACTCCCGCCAACTCCATGCCCTTCCCCGCCGCCGGCGGGCCGGCAGAGCCGGCAGGACCCCGCTGCCCGGGGGCGGGGAGAGCCGCGGGGCCTCGCACCGCCCGCCCGCCGCCCCCAGCCCGGCCCGGCTCCTCAGGTGTCCCGGCGGCTCGGGACAGTGCTGGGAATGCCCGGTGCGGGGAAAGGGGCTGACACCGCCTGCTGCGGCGCCGAGGAAATGGGAATATAGAAAAGCATGAGTGTCCAGCACTACGCACAGGCCGTATAGGAATAGTTTTCAAGTTCTAGTAAGATATGTGCGCATACAGACATGCACATAAACCAGGAAGCTTAGCCTGGCTGGCTGCTGAAATTAAATGCGCAGGTCACAGGAAGGCTGCCCGGGCTTTTTATGGCTGTTTGTATAAAGCCTATTTGCCCTAAGACCTTGTCAGGTTCGGAAAGGCTGGGTCCCTCCACAGGAGATTGTGTTGGGGACGTGGTACTGGAACAGGCTCCATAGGGAAGTGGTCACAGCACGAAGCCTGACAGAGTTCAAGAAGCATTTGGATGATACCCTCAGGCACCTGGTGTGACTCTTGGGGATGGTCCTATGCAGGGCTAAGGTTTGGATTTGATGATCCTTGTGGGTCCCTTCCAACTAGGCGTATTCTGTGTTTCCCACTACATGTGGGGTGAAGGGATGAGTCCAACAGCTTCTGCGTGCAAACGGCTATCACAGGTTCACACCCTTCCCTATGAAATTCCCATATATACACATGGGTTCCAGCACTGCTCCCTGCTGTGCAGTCTCCCGTTGCCTTCATAAACAGCTTCCCTGCAAAAATTCCGTGGCATTAATTGCCCCAGCCTTTAAAAAGGCGCTGCTTCCTCTACTGCAAGGATTCTGGGAAACTGGAAATCATTAAACTAGCTGAAGATCCAGTTCCTGTCAGCTCCAGATAAAATCTTTATTATCAAATTAAGCGTAGGATTTGTTTGTTTTGCTTCAGCTCTAATTCTCTTTTCATTTAGCACGGTGTTATGCATCAGATTGCACTTAAAATTGTAAACATACTTGTTAGTGTGCATGTGTTCCTTAGTTCCTTATGTGACGCACGGAAATCAAATGACTTCTAAAAATATTTGTTATTCTGACACACAGGGAATTACCAGGCGAGTAGAGAAGACAGAGATTAGCACCAGTGGTGTAAAATGGATGAGGGACTGACTAAGCAGAAGACAAGACACTGGACTGAAGGGTGAATTATTGTGATTTAAATTTTAGTAGACTTTCTGAATAAGAAGAAGTGAGATTATTTTATTTGCTAGTAGTGAAGTGAGGACAAAATTACAGTTGGATAAAGAAAAATGCAAATAGCACAGGTTGAAAGTGTGGAGTTATTATGCAGAAAAGTTCAGCATCCCTGAACATTGTATAAGCTACAGTGGGTGAAATTTAGTACTAGAAAGTGCAGCACGGTGGTCTTGAATCATTTTCCTGGCTGATACATTTTTTGTCATATGAAGAAGTGAAAGAGAAGAAGGAAGAGTGGGGTTTGTTGGTGATAACATGTCAGTAAGCATCACCAGGCAGGAACTGCTCACAAAAAAATCCAGGAACAAACTGAGGACATGTTGCTGGAGCTGGAGTGATCATGGTATGACCTCCTCTGAGACAACTCTGTTGGCCTCATAAAGCTGAATTAGGATGAATTGGAACAGGTGCAGGGGAGACAAGGGAATTAAAGAGCCTCTTTTATAAGAGGAGACTATAAAAGCTTAGTGTGCTTTGCATAGTGAACACATGGTAAGATGGGAAGTGACAGGTGTCTGTATACACACATCATCAGAGAGGTAAACACCAACAAATGATAAGAGTTATTGAAGCTAAAGAACAGTGTTAACCAAGGAACAATTACTATACCTGTGCCATGAACAATTTGAGGCAAGATAACAGATGAAGGTTTGGAACCACCCAAGGTATTCCAGTGACTTTGCCATATTAAAAGTGGAGACATGAACAAGGTACACAGGAGCTATGTATTTAATCCAAACAGAGCACATACTATTTCCCACCTCTTCCTCAGTTTTCATTTCCATTTTCTGACATCTTCTCGTTGCCATGACTCACAGCCAAATCTCCAGATCCAGAGCAGGTAATAGATAAAGCACTGTATCTTTTATACCTACTTAAGTGGACAAATTTGAGGTTGTACTTTACTGCCTGTGTAGGAAGACTCAGTAAATACTGAAATTTCTGTCCTGAGCCTCAGGCACATAGCAATTTTCCAGAGTTAATGTTTGTTCAGAGCTCCTTGGCATTTAGATAACCTAAAAGGGGCTGTGAAAGAAAGGAAGAAGCAATCTAAGAAGAAGTTATAACCTTAGGCACTCTAACTTAAAACCTTTAATTCAAACAAGTTCCTTCTGAGGGAAAAAAATATGTCCTTTTTATATCTGCTTTCACTGGGCCCTTTTTCTGTGGGTCATTAAGAGTACCAAATGAGACTGTAGGCTTCTTTCTGACTTCTTCCATTTTGGTCATCTTCCTTTTTCTGACAGTGTGCTTTACTCTTCCCTCTGTATTTCCCTCCTTTCCTCAAGCCTGAATATACTGTGTCCATCAACACCTCTCTCCAGATGAAACACTCAATCGCTTCATTCTTAAAAAGCCCTGTGTAGAATCCCTTAAAAACACTGGTCTCCTCCTCCAGTAAAAGAAAGCCTTTAGAAGCCTTTGCTGGGCTTTTCATTACTGAATGTGGTTTAAGTTTCATGTACAAGAGAAACGTTTTAAGAAAATATGCAGATGGCATAGAAGACAACAGCTGAAATTGAATTAGGTCTAAAGTACAGGGGATCTGAAAAGAGAAGGGAAGCAGGTAGTTAGTCAGGAGCACTGGGAGTAGCTCATAATTACAAAGCAGAAAAATGAGACAGAAATAGGATTCCAGGATTCTTTATGATTCATTACATACACCAAAATCACTAGAACCTTGACTTCCAACAAGTTTTGGTGTCCTAATTTCTTGATGAGATACAGAAATTTATTTCAGAGGAAACCACAGGTCACAATTTGGTCCTGTGTCTGTGTTGTAACTAATAAATCTACTGCTGATAATGGTAAAGTCAGATTTATCAAAATAAAAATATAAGACAGGCTTTGTCTCTAATTTAAAATTGATTTAAAGAAAATAATTGAGTTCAGAGATGAAAAGCATTCAAGAAATGAGGTTAAAATTCACCAGACAGCAGCTATCCATGGAATAATAAACAGGCAAATTCAACACACAGAATCCTATAAACTTGCTAGTTAGATAACCATTACAGTGTTACTTGTAAGTATTGCCCAGATGGCATATATGCTGAAATGTAGGTCTCTGTTCAAGAGTGGAGCAATCTGCTCATGTGTGCTCTGGCACTGAGGCTTAGAAAAGTAAGAATTTGACTTCATCACTTCATAAAAGCATAAATGTTTATATTTGCATCAACCTTAAACTGTAAGTCTGAAGTGAAAAGGACTAGTCAAATGTTAAACAGGTGATTATATTTACCAGGATAATTTTCTAAATCTCATACATACCATATATTCTTAATCTTTTGCATTAAGTGATCTTATAAAGTTCTCAATCTTAGAGATCCAAACACACATAAGGATGGTCTGGAAGACAAACCCACACTCTTCATAAACTTAAATAGCAGTCCCATTTCCCTGTCTAAAATGCTGCAGCTCTCACTCTTTCTCTGACCATGTTTGCTGTAGCATGTCTATCATAAGACTTTTATGGTTCATATGCCTTTAAATATTCCATAAAATGGTTTAGATGTAAGAAGAATCTGAACACTTTAAGAATTATGGTCCAGATCCTGCACCTCACCTACCTTTTTAGGAGGACAGAAGTATTTCAGAACTTATATAGTTCTGCAGTATAACTAGTGAGAGGTAAAATTCTAGGACAGAAAATGCAGAAGGAATTGATATTCCTTACATCATGGAGAAATACCCAACAAAAGCATCACCTGTATCAGTAAACTAAAACTCTGAGGAACACAGTGGGAGGGTAGACCTGCAATTGTGATGATCCATGAGCCAAAACCTTGATGCTACTGGTGGTGATGGGGACAAAGATACAAAAATGACTTCCAGAAATAGATAAGAGGTTGTGTTTGCTCATGTTTCATAACTCACTTCCAGAGAGTGGAGGAGGTTGCTATTTCTAGCAATCCTGACATAGCGATTACCTCCAAGTGACTTTATTTAGGCTTTGCTCAAGGGACCAGGAATTAGTGCAAGGTCCTTGACTGATTAGCAAACTATCACCTTTCTATGTTGTTTCTATCCCTCATGATTATTCATTTCTCCTAACAGATGTGTAAGACAAAAGATCATTAACCCAAGAGCATGTAGTCTGATTTTGAACAAGTACAAGAATAATTTTCATTCAAAAAGGAAAAGGCACATAGTTGACCAAGAGATTTATGCTGGGCAGTTGCATATGCTTGGACTTTACACTTCAGATAGATATTTTTCCACATAATAGTAATCACTATTAAAACTAGGGCTTTGTCAGCAGGAATGGAGGAATGTTTTGAATCTCCTTCTCAATTAAGGTAGAAGGCATGGACAAATATGCTTTGATAAAAAACTGTTCATTCAAATCAGATTGATACGTTCATCAGTCTAAGAATGACTACATTTCTCTGTGTGTAATTGTGCCATCATTCCTGGATTTAGACATGTGCATTTCCAAAACTCATCAAATCAGAATGTATAAATTTTGCTTTGCTTAAAAATATAAAGTTAAATTTATTCTTTCAAGTTATTAGTGTATTTCTCTGAAATCTCAGCATCTATGATTCGTTTCTAGCTACAGAAATTCCACATACTGATGTTTTGCTGAAAAAATGAGAAAGAAGCTGTGAAGCTCTGGCAGTAGCCAGCCACACAGAGGGTCAAATTTTAGAGCCAGTGACAAGACTTTTAATGTGTAACCATAATTATATAGAATGCAATTGCCAGCCACCTTATTTCATAACAAAAGAGTAAAGTTTAGGAAAGTTCTATGGTACTTCTGTAGTTTCTGTTGTGAGGTCTAGGAAGAATTGGCTGCTGCTGCATTAGGTAT